AAAAGCAAAGCTGCCTGACCCTACTTACTTGCACAGCATCAGGGGAGGGTTCATTTATCAGACGTGCTGGAGCACCGCTCCTAGATGCCACCACAAAGCAGCTGCACCTGAGCAGCACTGACCTCTCCCAAAGGGGATTTCACAGCTGCGCCCTGGCCAATGCGGAGCCGGGCTGAGCATCCCGGCAGGCACAGCACAGATCCTGCCATCGCAGGAGACAGCACGAGCCACAGTCTGCAGCCGCCCTGCACAGCACCAGCGAACCTCTCCCAAGGTCAAATCCCCCCAGGCAGCACAAAGGACCCTCCAGGGACCCCTAAGACTAACGAAGCCTGAAATTCAGGTCTAAAGACATATACAGCCAACAAGGTGCCTCTTTCACACCCGGTTGTTACCTGGAAATAGGGCACGCGCTGTCTTGTAAGGGCACTAGCTTCGTTTTCCCCATGCTTGAACCCCCCCTGGCACTGGCAGCTCCCCTTGTGGCTTTCTGGGCCCCATGTGCACAGAGGCAATTGAAGGAGACACATTCACTTCTCCGTGTGAAGTGAAGATGGAGTTATCCTCCTTCCAGTAAATAAATGTCCATGTGTGTACCTCGCGCTTGTATCTGAAGAGGAGATACTGTCTGCCCAGCTCTTTCAATTTTTCATCCTCCTGGAGGGAAAATGTGATAGGAAAAGCCTAAAAATTAAAAAAAGACTGAGGGAACAGCCATGCCTAACACTTTTTTCAGCGCAGTCCACCCAATTATTTTCCTTCCCCTGCCTTTTTTAATTTTAAAGCTTCCTCTGAATGTAGGTCCCAGGTCAGCAAGGCATTAAGGCACTCCTGAAGTACCTCAACTCTAAACCATATCCCATGGAAAGGACACTAATCATCTCTCGCATCTTCAACTAAAGATACAGCACTTTATCTGGGATCCAGAGTGTATCTATAAATATCAGCCCATCTCGCAGCCAGGCAAGTGCTATGTCCATTACAGAAATGGGTAACCTAAATCACAGAGCTGGCTGGGGCCCGCCCATGGTTAATCTTTATAATGGGAGGGAGCTGGACCAAAATCTATGTATAGCTGAGATGGCAGGAGGTCCAGTGGATATATACAGTGAAAATACCAGGGAAAGCTGTTCCCATAAAGATTCCCAGAATAATCCCATCTCCTCCAGACTCTCTTGCAGCCCCATGAGCTACCATGGGACAGAGGTGATGCGGGACACAGGCGAGCGGTGACGGCCACTCCAGAGGTGTGCAGGTAGAGGACAGGGCCCCTCCAGAAAATAAAATGAGCAAAGACCTATTTCTCAGCTCTTCTGCTGATGGAGGAGGCTGGATGGGCGACCACAGTGAAAAGAAAAGTTGGTGACCAGTATCTAGATCACAGACAGAGAGCTCCTGAAATGCATCTGTAGACCTAAATTAAAAACCTAACGGGATTTCCAACCCCTTGACTTTCACTAGCATTTTCTTTGCTTTTTATTATCCTAAATGCATAGTTTTTTAAGGCACTGGTCCCTCAGAGAGGGCAAACCTGTACGACACCAAACAAAGCCTTTTGTGAAGCAGAGTGGGCCGTGGGTTGGGCTGGAAGAGGAGATCTCCCTCCTCCCCCAAGCACAGCCTGGGGTCCCTCTGCAAGCCCCAGGGCAGATGCTCACCTGCAAAGGCTGTTCCCAGGGACACGCTGCCATCGGCAGCGATGCTGCCAGGGATGATGCCAGGCCATAAGATGCGGTACGCTGTTCTATACGTTGTTAGTCATTTGTTGTGGTTAGTAAGCAAAACCTCCCAAGCTCATTTCTGTTCTATTACAGGAAGGAGAAAAAGGGAATAAAATAACTCATTTCAAGGTAATTTGCCACTGATTTTGTATATGATCAAGAGGTCTGTAAAAAGTGGGAATAGTTGCAAAAGTCTAACGTGGCCCTGTAGAGAAAAGTATCACAAAGTTATCAAACGTCGACAAAGTGAGAATAAAGTGCAGTGGTTTCAATGCATTTTGCATGCCTATAGGTCACAAACTGCCCAGCCCCTGCCTGCCCAGCCAGGGAGCTGCCTTTCTGTTTAGGTTGATGAGGTTTTGGTCAAATCTCAGAGGGATGTCACTGCACGGGCTGGCGGCTCCTTGGCAAGGATTCGGTCCTGGGGGTTGGCACATATAGGGTGCGATTCTCCTCTTCTGTGATCAGCCTGGCACAGGTCCTGCTGCTCTTTTCTGTTCCCCACATCTCTGGGGAAGCGCGAGGAGAGCCAGGGTGGGAAAGGTTCCCTTCCCCCCGGGACGCAGAGCACGAGAGTCCCTCCAAACGTGGAGATAAATTTCAAAACCACCACCGAAAGACAGCCGCGTCCCATAAAGTGCTGGCTGCTCTTAGGAGTGAAATGGAGATTTCTCCCGCTAATTATAAAAATGGCAGGCAAAACCCTGCACGATATGATTTCTTACATTAAACAAATTTTATGACGGAGAAGACTTTTAGTGGCACTATTTGCAGACCTGGCCTTTCGCCAGCTCACTGTCATTAAATCTGCCGATCTTAAGTATCAGCTGCACTTATTCAAAGGGGCTATAAATAAAACCCTGAAGCCTATTAAAGGAGCCGGCTTCCTCGGGCTGTTTGTCAAGCCTGCGGACAGACTGACATCGCAGGCATTCGGGCGACCCTGGCTGGTGCTGAGCACGGGCAGCACAAGCATGTCTCAGGATGGGTCTTTCACATGCTCACAGATTTATCTTCCATGCTGCAAGACACACGCGACTTTTTCATTAGAAGAAAACCTCATTTTGCGCTGGCAACAAATAGCGCTTGTTCTGTTAGGGCTGGACAAGTCCTTGACCACACTCCTGAAGCCTGAAACTGTTTAACCTTTGCCTAGCTGCAAGGGTTAAAAATGAACAGGAGCATGGGGATAGGATAAGAAATGGAGCTGGGATATTTTATAAGACAAGGAGGTGTTTTAACGTAAAATATGGAGAAGTCACCACTCCCAGTATGTTTATATGCTATCAGCCACACTTGCACTCAGGACTGCCACTGTTCTGGCTCTCCTCTGGGATTCGCCTGGTAAAAAAACTGCCAAGCCCAGAGGCTGTGGGTGCCCCCCGCCACCCTGAGACGCCCACGGGTCACAGGCAGGATGCTCCAGGATGCAGCAGCCGTGCTCTGTGTCACTGATGCAGCCCCTATGAAAAATGGCTAGCAGTACTAATGTGTGGTTAATGACCCATGGTTCAGAAATGACTAAGATGCAGGCATTAAATTAAATTTACAATCAACTTCCTTTTTTTTTTTTTTTTCCCTCCCTGAAACCCTGAAACCGAAGTTCCTAATCACAAAAGTCCATGAAAGTACCTCTTCGCTTCCAGGCAGGGCAGGTGACTGCAGGCAGCCGCAGTATTGAAGTTGGGTGCTGTCACCATGCCAGGCGTGACACGGGGCTGCTTCAGTGGCAGGGTAAATTGATGACACCATCGCAGGAGAGCTTACTGGTTGATGCCAGGTTTATTTTTGTAAGTGCAAACTAATGAAATTTAGAGGTTTTAATTAAAAAAAAAACGTAGAAGCTACAATTTAAAATGAAATTCATAACCGAACCGAGTGCCAATCGCATTAAGGAAACGAGCAGCTCAGGCATTTTCCCAGAACAGCCCCCACATTTTTTGGCAAGAGGCAGGGAGCTTCAGTTTGTCCCAGTGAAGCTCCTGGCTCTGCACAAACGATGGACGAGGGCTGTGAGCAAGCAAGGGCTGTGCAGCATCCCTGCAGACACCGCACCGTCCGTCTGTCCTGGGCTCAAGCAGGGAGAAACCACTGCGAGGGACTTGCGATGATGCTTGCCCTGCAGCAGGCACTGACCTCTTACTAGAGACCATTTATCCCTTTCCCCCCCCACCGCTCAGCCGAGGGGGGACCTCACTCATCATGTTCTGAATTTTAAAAGGTAGCAAAGAAATTGTTTAAAAGGCAGCGAAAGGGAAGGAAAAGTAACCATAAATCCACCGCAGAGGTGTCCCAGAAAATGAAGGTGAGTATCCAGGAGGGGAGCTGAGGAAAAGACAACCTTGAACATCTCCCAACAGTAGGGGTGCATAATTTAGAGCAACCTGGAGGCATTTTGTAGCTTGTTTATTTTTCAGACTTTCTGCTCTCTTCTCTCGTACTTCTTTACTTCTCTACTCACAGATTTTCCCCTAAATACTCTGCTGGATTAAAGAAGATGGAGGGGGTTATTTTCAAGAGCAGGGACAGGCACATCCCCAGTCACTGAGCCCAGCAAGGGCCGAATCTGGAGAATTGCTGTGGTTTGGTTTTGCTCTGAAACAGTGATTCTATAACAGTAATACATTAACATGCACCAGCTGTAAATAAAATCACCCAGATGGGAGACTTTTCAAAACCATCAGAAGTCTCCGTTCCAGCCCTTGGCTGCAAAATTTTTAGGACCTGCAAGAAAAGGGTTGGTTGTTTTTTTCTCACTTTCCAACAGAGCCAGTTAAAATGAGCACAAGCGTGATACGTGGTCAGCACAGCTTGGCCTGGGCTGGATTCAAGCCAACACAACCTTGAAGCACGTGCCAAAGGCAGGAGATGAGCAGATGAGAGGAAACCTTCAGATCTCAAGCCACATGTGCGGGTGCCCTAAGCACAGTTCTTCCTCTCTCTTGGCTTAGCCCCCCATCGCTGAGGTTTGTAAAAATCGCTGGAAATCTCCTGGGGACCAAAAGGCAAGTGAGATTATTCCCCAAATGTGATGTTTTTATGGCAGCCCCGTAAAAGCGCTTGTGTGTGCTTGGGGAAAAGCCACAGCAGGTGGAGCTGAATATGGGAAGTGGCTGCCAGAAGAAATCAGGAGGTTGGAGACCATCTGAAGCAGACGTACGACAGATTGTTTTTTGAGTCATTCTGCATCCACTGCCATGATGAGCCTGAAATGCATCTGTGCTGCAACTGGCGGTGGTTGGGCTGAGTTTTTCCCTTCTGCTGTGTTTCTCCTGCTAGCTCTTTGGGCTGGTGGCCTTTCTGGAAGAAGAGACTTGGACTGGATGGGCAGAAACAGGCACTGGAGAGCATGAAGCAGCACAGAAATCCTTCAGCATCCATCCCCATCCCTGGCCGAAGGAAGAAAATGAAGATGCTGAGACGAGAGCTAATGAACACACCAAGGGACGTGAGGAGAAGAACATTAATTGCCTGTACAGCAGTGCGGCGAGTCTGAGCAATAAAAAAAGGTGGGAACGACTAATTTATGAGTGCAAATTCTATCTGGACAGCATGACTTAAACTTGGGGAGAAAATCCATGTGCCTGGAATATTAAAATCAATAGTTGTAACCTATTTAGAAAGAACTGAGTGGGCAAAGAAGGTGCAGGAGGGACAATCAATATCAGATGTGACATTGCTGCGTTCCAAGCACCACTAGAAACTTAAGAGAAAGTGACCTCAAATACAAATAAAAGCTGAAAGAAGATGCTTCTTCAGACCATCAAATCCCACTGACTCCTTAGTCAAATATCTATATAATATTTAAGAAAATTTCCCTATGCTGTCCTGGGGAACCTCAACTTGAATTATGTGAGCTGGAGGGCTCACGCTGCTGGGAATTTCTAAATGTCATAGAAGAGCATTTCCTAACCAAAACCAGGGGGATCCTCTGCAGGATCATCTTGACAGCTGGCGAACCGATTCGAGATCCAAAAACTAGCTACAGCCAGCACAGAGGTGACCCTGTTTCAATTGTACGTGCTGGGCACAGACAGAAGAAAGCCTGAGCCAACAGTAGGTCCCTTTGTTTTTCAGTGTTGTAAGCCAGGTCACCTGGAGGATTTGAAACAGAAGATGTGAATGATATTTGGCAACTCTTTGTTTAAAAGCACTCTGGCTTCTAGGGAATCTAGTAAAGTCTCAGCGTGGAGAAAGAGGAGGTTATTCTGGTTAAAAACAGAAGCTCAAAGGGGAGTGAGAGTAGGTCTACATTCACTCAAAGGAAGGAAGGGAAAGTGGGTAATGAGGAACGTAAACCAGCCCCAAGCAGAAGGCTGTCAGGTCAAACCTATGGCTAGCAGAGCCGAGGGCAATAGGGAAGTGCTCTTTAGATATGAGAGACTAAAGTAGTTGTCTAGACAGAATAGCAGACATTAAAAAAAGAATGCATAAAAGGCAGACGCTAAATATTTAATCTCTCTATTTTGGGGGAAAAAAGCTAAGTGGAGTAGCAATGTAATATGATGATGTGAAATATCTTCAGTTCCAACTCAGGATGTTAAACAGCTGCTACTACAGCTACAGGATTTTTTTGATCAGCAGTCCTCAATCTTCAGTGCCTGAGAGTTTTAAAATCTGTCCCAGGAGCACCCCGGGCCGGCAGCGTCTGCGAGGCGAGGAGTTTTCCAGAAGACTGAAGCAGCGCTGACTTTGTGCCAATGCACAAACGTCGATGAGGGGGATGACTTGCATAATTATAAATCTGATTGTCTGATGTTGATTTTGTGAAAAATAATGGAAGAGCTGATAAGGGACTTGATTAATAACAATTTAAGGAGAATAATTAATTACAATCAACATGAGTTAATGGAAAATAGATCTTATTAAATGAAATTGATATAATTTTTCAAGAATGTGATTATAGATTTGATTGATTTAGTACATTTCATCAACAGTGTTACGTTTGACTTCTGCGAGGCATTTGACTTAATGTTGTCTCATTTATTAGGAAGCTAAAACAATGTAAAATCAACACGGCATGGGCTAAACGGATGCAAACCCCACTGATATGTTCAAACATATCAGAGAATCATCCCAAGTGGCTGTGTTTCAGTTCATCATTTTTAGCAAATGGTAGAAAATCAAAACTCATTACAATCAAAGTTTGCTGATAAGACTTGGAGTAGGACCACGGTCGGTACGTGGATCGGTCTCTTCCTCAGACCTGCATCTTTCGTGAACCAGATATAAGCAAACACCAGCCAGTTTAACGTGGGCACACATGAAGCCACACTTCGAGGAAGCAGGATTTCACCGGGGGGAGGAGGGATCCTATTACACAACGCTGGAAACTTGGAAGAATAGCGGAGTGAAATATCTCCGGTGTAACATCCAGTGGGACACGGCAGCTATTTCTGGTGTCTGTGACTCAAGAAGGATGGTGATGAATGGGAGAGGGCACACGAGAATGACTGAAGCGTTGCAAAACATGCCTTACAGTGACAGATTCAAGGACCCCAATACGCTTAGCTTAACAAAGAGAAGGTTAAGGGATGGCTTAATGACAACCCAGATGTGTTCAGACAGGGTACAGAAATGCAGAAAGGAAGAGCTCTTCAATCTAATAGACAGAGCTATAAAAAGAGCCAGTGACTAGAAGCTGACACAGTTAAATTCAGACTGGGAAGGGTGTGCTTTTTAAATTGGGAGAAGTAACATCAGAACAACTTCCCAACAGATGGTTTCATCATCGCTGGCCATTTCAAAATCATGCTGGGTTTTTTTTTGTTTTAAGCCATATCCTGGATCCACCAACGATCACTGTGAATCGGCATAGAGACACCCACACCGCATGGATGGGGTGGTCCTTCTTTGGTTTTATACTGTTTCTAATAATGAGCATTTAAGTCATCATCTGCGAGCACTGAGTGGGGCAATTCCCTTTTCTCAGAGTTATTGGTCTGGCCTTGGCAGAGACTCACGCAGACACCTCAGTGTTATTAGTACTTCGTCTTTGCCAGTGGAAAGGCTGGAAAAGTACTATAAAACCAAATAAAATAAACACAGCCTACATCCCTCTGCTATAAATACCCCAAAATGCAGTGCCAAAGAGAGCAGCTCAAAGCAAGTACATGAAGGACCTGCGTTCCAGTGGTCCAGTTAAATCCTGCTGATCCCCGTCTGCTGCTTTAGTTTGATAGACTTTTCAGGGAAGTGACACATCTGTATTCCTTAAAAGCTGCTAAAACTGTGAGTAAAAATGTGTAGTTTGATAACACACTCATCTATGCCCAGGAAATCACAGAATGAGAGAGCGTCACGATTGTGCACAGCGGGGCTTTCTGCAGGAGCAACGCCATGTCTCTGCTTTCTGGTTTGGGAGCTGCTGAAATTTCTCCTTTCATGGAAATGCTTCAGCGGGAGCCCTGGCCGCAGACCCCTCACTCGGGCAGCTCCAGGAGCCACCCACTGACTTCTCCTGGGACTGGTCTGGAGGCCCCAGCTGACATCTTACTGTGCATCCAGATGCACTGGGGACCAAAGAGTTATATATATAAAAGTTAATTTTTTTTTTCTTTGGGTACTGGGACATTATTTCTGTGTTTTCAAGCTCTGAAAAATGTCAGGAAAAAATTTTCCTTCCAAAGAAATACTGTGATGGGTGGAGGTGGTTAGATAAGAACTGATATCCAAAAGCGGGACAACTAAAGTTGTTTAATAATTGATTTATATATAAAAGTTAATTTTTTTTCTTTGGGTACTGGGACATTATTTCTGTGTTTTCAAGCTCTGAAAACTGTCAGGAAAAAATTTTCCTTCCAAAGAAATACTGTGATGGGTGGAGGTGGTTAGATAAGAACTGATATCCAAAAGCGGGACAACTAAAGTTGTTTAATAATTGATTTATATATAAAGGACTTTATCTTCTGCTAAGGTCTTTACCTTTTAAAGCAGGTCTTTACCTTATATAAAGGATATAAAAAAGATGCAATTTGTTATGTTAACTTGTAATGAGATCAGCAAAGAAAGTCTTTTAAGCCCCTCCACGGCTTATTCGTGATTTCACTGTGATTCTTGAATAGCAAAATCTATCCAGCTGTAAATTTAGGGCCTCATCCCTGAAGCTGGGGGGCTGGAACCCTGCTGCCCACACCACGGAGCTAGCTGTCCATGCTGAGCACTGCCAAGGACTCTGGGTCCTGAGCTGTGCTGGATTTAGCTCTGGCATGACTCAAGCCATCACTGCTGTCCCCACCGCCTGCCACCTCTTTGCTGCTGTGACCAGCACCCGAGAGCCACAGCAGATAATCCAGATTATGAATTAGTGGGGAGGAGGCAGCCCTGTGGGATGCTGCCAACCGCAGTAGCTAACCCCAAACACACTTCTGTATCTCCTGCTCAGGGCAGAGGGCATCAGGCAGCAACTTCTTCAGCAGCTCCAATTCAGTCTGCAAGAGCCCTCTGCTCCAAATGCCATTTAATCCAGCTCTGCGTTAGCCAGCCAACAAGATTTCCATTGATTTCAGGTTTTGGCCCAGGAACTGTGCAGATGCTTTTGAACTGAACAACTTAAGCACAACGCTTATGTTTTGTCAGAAAAAGCCTGAACCAGCAGAAACTCTTTTAAAGCCAGGGCATCATTACCATAGAGATAAACACTACTTTAATGTGGTTCACCGTAACAACAGGCCGTGTATTAAAACACTTCACCATTTCATTTATTCAGCATTTTATATTGAAGAGTATTTTCATTAGGATTCCACTGCAAAACCGAAGAAGGCATTAAATCATTTAATATACTGACAGCTCACTTAATTTATTTAAGCACAGGAGTCTAATTCATAAAGCAGACCTTACACAGAGCCCTGTCTTTACAGTCCTGGCATACAAGGTCTTATTCATTTCAGGGTAGGGTGTTATATGAATTTAGTCTGAGATCCCGCTACGTGCTCTCCTTTGGTCAGCAACCTGCTGCAGTGCTGCACCTGCCAGAGCTACCTTTAGAAATCCCTCCTGGTGCACACCAACCCAGCTCCATGCCTTTTGCTTCTACTGACACTTGTGAGCATCTAGCCCTCTGCATTTGCCATCTGGCTTTGTTTGGTCCTTGATGGATCACAGAGCAACCAGCATGGCTGGAGCAGCAGAGATCAGCAGGGAAACAGCGGCAAATGCAGCAAGCCCTGAGGTCCTCAATGAAGTCTTCAATATAACTTTTGTTAATTGGCGTTCCTGGCTCTGGAGCACTTGGTAAAGTCTGGGAGATCCACTGCAATGTACTCCTGTCTCTGTCTGTATTGAATTAATTAGTGACACTTGATTCTTCAGCTCTGGGGTGATGTATGGTGAGGTTCCACCAGCCCTGCCCTGGGAGGTGCTAAGCAGCATCAGGACTGTCCACAGCTGTCACATCAAAGTTGTCACATCCTGCCTGAAGCAAATCCTCCGCTTGGTATTCTGGGTGCTCAGCTCCTCAGACAATCAAGCCCTTGTGGCTTATTACTGATGTTCCCAGATCTGCCATAATAAATGGTGGAGAAGAAAATTGTCACCTATGACAAAGCCCTGGGTGATATTGGCGTCCCCGGTCGCTCCTGGTTTGGCTGCTTTCCAAGACTGGTGTTGAAGCAGAACCTCGGAAACAATAGCACATTGTCAATAGGGTGCACAGGATGTCATTAATAAACATTAGGGAGCTTGATATGATCTGGCGAAAGCAGTACAATGAAATGAGGTACCAAAAGCAGGATGGAGAGGAGGAGAAGAGACCTGAACAGGGTGTTTAATGACTCACCGGACTGTGAAATGCAGCGGAGAGCAAGGCTGGGATAGAAAACCTTTTAATGAATTCAACGTGTGTGCACCCTTTGAAGGCTTAGCTCCCCATTCCCCAGTAATGTTTGACCCACCTGAAGATACTGATCATATAGAAAATAATAACCAGTAAGTAATAATAATAGTAATAATAGGAAGAGCAGGACCCTCATCTCCAATTCATATTTATAATCCAGCAAATATCTCACCTAAAGCCAGAAGATTTATGGGTTTGCATCTATAATTAATATTGTTCCTTAAGCAAGAAAGGGTATATTTTCGTACAAATAAATCTGGTGCTCTACACCTGGATTTTGAAGACTAATATTTAAATCCCCAGCAAGACACAGGTATTGATTGTATAGAGGCATATACAACAGAGACATGCCATGCACATATATATAGATAGCATTGTACATTTATTTTTAAAATAAATAGACATAGTTTCTCTTTTAAATGCAATAGATGAAGCTTAAGCAGGAAAAGGAGGAAGATGGGGAGGTCGGCTTGGTGTCTGCTTCAAAATGTCCCTGTTTCCCAAAGATTCAATTTGCATTAGGCCTGCTGCTAACGGCAGGGCTGTTCCTGGGCGCCAAGACACATAAAGGGCTTTGAGACAAAGGCAATCGATCTAGTTTTAGTTTTATGAGGAAAATAAACAGTTAGGCTGATATAACAGTAAAAGGGTCAAACCAGGTCAGGGCTAATGAAGTGACTCACAGCAGCTTAAAATTAAAAGACCCTTCCTTTTCTCCGTCCTCCCTTGCATACCTCTCCTCCGTGAATGACCGACATATCCGCCCAAAATCACACGCGTGGGCGACAGCAAAGCACTAAGGGTCGAGCCAGCTCATTCGGGGATGGGGGCAGGACTTGCCTTGGCTGAAGGTTTCCATCTCCAGCAGCATCTGCTGAGCGATGGAAACCTCCAGCGCAAGGCAAGTCCTGCCCTTCAGCTCCTCGCCATGACCACAGCATGGACCACAGCCACTGCAGGCTGCCAGGGAGGCTCAAAGGTGCCTGAAATCACCCCTCGAGGGCTGAATCGGCCACTGGTGGTTGGAGTTTTCCTTTAAGGACCTGTG